CGTAGTTTCCCCATAATCCCGCCTTGGCCTGCGCATCCCGAATAGAACTTCCATGGGTGAAAACCCCGTTACGGAGTGGATCGAGTGGTTATAGGCTGTTACCGCTTTCCTCATTGCCACATCCGGCTCCAACCCTTTTTCACCCTGATATACACGGACGTGGTCGCTTAACGTACTGTGCAGCCGTTCAATACCGCCTCTACCTTTAGGATGTCCTGGGGTGTTATAATGCCACGCAATTTCCAATCGCTTCACCTCCTCCCTAATCGCGGCATTGTCGAACTCCCTACCACCGTCCGAAGTAATCCTCTCGGGGACCCCATAGAACTGCACCCAGGTTTGTAGGGCTTCCGCAACTGCATTGGCTGACTTCTCCATCACTTGGTATGCCATCGCCACCTTGCTGAATATGTCGATTACCGTGACCCACTTAAACCCTTTCCAGGTAAACGTGTCAATCTGAAGGTCCTGTAGCGGCATATTCCCTGTAGGTGTCTCCTCCTGAACTCCTCTGGGGGGGTGTCGATCGTATTTTGTGCGCATGCATATCTCGCATTTCCCAATGACTTCCTGGATGGACCTCTTCATGCCCCACCAGAAATACTTCCGACGCAATGCCTGCAGCGTCTCATTAACGCCTCGGTGATTGGTTTTCCCCTGGTGATATGCTACTGTGATTGCTTGCTGCTGCTCTTCGTCCTGTACCGTCTCCACAGCATACTTGCACCGGATGAATGTCCTGTCCACGCCTATTCGCTCGGACCTCCACATTCGCTTGATCTTATCCCATACCGTATTGTTTCCTACGTATAGGTAGTGCGTTTTACCCGCTTCCGAGGCATCCCTCAGTGCCGTACAGATTTGTTCTTCGCTGACCCCGGGCTGCGACCAAATGACGCGGATCCTACTTCTCCCGTACCTTCTGAAATCGATCTTCATGATTCCGGTTGTTCGTGTCTTCCAAATCACCTGACGGTGTTTGTCGTTCACGATCTCCTCTATTTCTTCCATCTCCGCTGCCCTTTCTTCCGCTGAGCTCTCCTCTTCTGGGGAATCTCCCCTGTCCTCAATCCCTGCGGTGTCATTTGCCCCTTCGCCATCGGGAGTCCATTCCCTCAAGAATTGGCGCACGTCCTGCGATGGTCCTCCCCTGTCCTCTTCAACCGCGTTGATCATGATGGCCCTCGAGAGCCAGTCTGCCACCACGTTTTCCTTTCCCGGCTTATACACCACCTCTATGTTGTATTGGCTTAGGATCTCCTTCCATCTTGTGACCCTAGCTGAGGTTTCCTTGAGTTTTCCTACCCACTGGAGGGGTTTGTGGTCGGTATGGACTCGAAATTTTCTCCCGAATACGTATGGCCTGAAATGGTCGATAGCCCATACTATCGCGAGTAGCTCCCTCTCCAAAGCGCTGTACCTTGATTCCGCACCCGTAAGCCGACGGCTCGCGTATGCTATCGGTCGTTCACCCTCACTCCCCCCCTGGGACAAAACGGCCCCTAGCGCGTATTCACTCGCATCAGTGGTTATATTAAAAAGCTTCTCGAAATCCGGGAACGCTAACACCGGCTCCGTCAGCAACCTATTCATACATTTTCGAATGTTATTCTCCATCTCTGGTGTCACCACAATCTTCGCGCCTTTCTTCAACAAATTGTTAATGGGTACCAAATACTCTGCCATCTCGGGTACGAATCTCCGGTAATAATTCAGCGTCCCGAGAAGCCTACGAATCCCCTTGACGTCCCGTGGTACCGCCATCCGCGTGATTGCCTCCACCTTTGCCGCATCCGGTCTGACCCCCTCGCTAGAGATAGTGTGGCCTAAAAAATTGATCCGCGTTTGTCCCAGCAGAGACTTCTCGCTTGACAATTTCAGCCCGAATTGCCGGAGCCTTTCGAATACTGCCCTCAGATGTCCCACGTGCTCGGTTTCCGTTCTGCTAAAAATCAGCAGGTCATCCATGTATACCTGGCATACCGAGTCATCGATGCCCCTCAAAAATTCGTCCATCAGACGCTGAAATGTTATGGGCGCATTCTTCAGACCAAACGGCATCCTGGTGAATTCATAATGCCCCCTTTCAAATGTGAACGCTGTTTTGTGTTGGTCTTCCGGGTGCATCCGTATTTGGTGGTATCCCGCCTTGAGGTCCAGCGTGCTAAAGACCACGGCCCCACTCAACCTATCGAGTATATCCTCGAATCTCGGGATCGGGTACTTCTCGTCTACCGTGTTATCGTTCAATTTACGATAGTCTACTACCACCCTGTATTTTTCCTTATTATCCCCCGGCGCTGCCTTCTTTTTCACCGCCCACAGGGGACTATTGAATGGTGAGGTGCTATCAACTATGATTCCCTGTTCTTTTAGACTATCTAGCTCCTCCCGAATATGCTGTCTCAACGCCTGCGGGTATCTTCTCTCTTTCACGTAAGTTACCCTCTCCTGTTTCAGTGGGATTTCGTGCACCGTCCTCCCTGTTACCCCTAATACCTCACCTTCCCTGAAGAAGATATCCCTAAACTCCTCTTGTAGCAACTTCCTCCAGTCCTCCACTCTGTCCACCGCTCCTATCCGCACCCTTCTTTCTCTCGCGACCCCTATACATCCGAACTTCCTCTTTCCTAACCTAACGCTCCAGACTCCTCTACGATTTCTAATGCTCGCCCCTACCTGACCTAACAAATCGCACCCTACTATGACTTGGTATTCCCGAGTCATGTTCTCCACCACATGCACCGTTAGCTCACCCCCTTTCCCTGTCCACCGATCAAGCCCAATTGTCGCCTCACCCTCTACACTACAGGGACCACCCAGAGTGATCAGCTGGCAGTCACATTTCTGTATCCGGAGTACCCTCTCGCTCCCGCACCCTTTTCCTAACGCCCTTCGAGTCATAATAGTGCTCGAGCTACCCGTGTCCACAAGACACTTTACTCCCCCGTCTACTTCGATAATTGGCAACCAGCATGGCTTACCTCGGATGTTGTTGCATATTGCTGTGCGGTCGCCTCTCTGCCGACACACTCCTCAGATGTCGTCCCGCTTCCTCCTTTCTGCCGCCGCTCGTCGCTGCTCACTCCGTTGGCTGCGCCTACCTCCTTCACCTCCGCTGCTGCCTGGTTCGTCCGTCTCCGTTCCCGACGCTCCTGACTCCTCGGTTGCCTCCTCCGAAGATCCGTCCCGCTGATGTACCCTGGCTCGTCTTTTCATCCTCTGCACATTCACCTCCATGGGTTCGTCCTGAGGTCTCTCCCTCCTGTGAAATATGTATGGGCACTGCCTTGCTATGTGCCCTTCCGTCCCGCACTCGAAGCATCTGGTGCGTGGACATTGCGCTACTAAATGTCCCGGCTTCCCACACCCGTGACATTTTCTCTCTTCCCTCCGGGGCCCATTCCTCGGCCTCGAAGACTGTCCCGATCTTCTTTCCCTCGTCGGGGCTTTTTCTCCACTCGGCTGCCTTGTGTCCCTCTTCTTCCAACCTGTCGGGGCTGTCCATGGTCGTCTATCAGTCACTCGGGTCCAACCCGGTTCTTCCACATCCATCCGTGTCTCCTCCTCTCTGGCACTTAGGTCGATCATCTCCTGGGCGCATTCGAGGAACGATCGCTCTCTGGGCAGTCCGTCCCTCTTCCCCGTTTCTTTAGCCAGCTGGACTTTCAATATTGTCGACAGAAACTCCATCCTGGCTTCGACCTCTCCCACGCTCATTGTTTCCCGCATCTTCTCGGTTATGCGATTGTACTTCGCCACGAGTACTCCCGCATATTGCCCCCTTGACTGTCGTTGGGCCCGCCGCTCCCTAAACATTTGGAATATGTCCTCTTCCGGTGTCCACCTACCTCCTCCAAAAGCCTTCTTCAGCCGCTCCTTAATCACCGGCCACGGAGTCTCCTCGTCCGCTTGGATCTGGTTCAGGACGTTCCTCCTTACTCGGCACACAAGAGCTGCTTTTAGTTCTTCCGCGTCCCCTAGGTTCACCAGGTCCTCCGCCACCTTCACCTCGATTCTTGACATAAGACGATCTCCGCCTTTCAAGAAATGGTTGAGCTCGCCTACCTCGCCTCCGAATCGTTCTAGGTCCGCAATGGCCCTCCGTAAGTCCTGCGTGGTTGTTGCTCTTATTTTCATCCATTCCAAGGCATTGGCGTGTGCTTCTGCCAACGTGTCCCTTGGTAATGGAGGGATCTCCTGGATCTGAGGGATCTGTGCTACCTGAGGGACTTGAGGTATCTGAGGTACCTGAACCTGAGGCGCGATCTGGGGTACCTGATTGATCTGTGGAATCTCCTGAGGTTGAGGAATTTCCGGTACGCTTAGTACTCCCGGTCTAATCAATCCTTCTGTCGGCATTTCACCTTTTCCTTAAACACCAAACAAAAAAAAAATGTCTACTAAAAAAAAATTACTTCCCTGACGTTGTCCCGGGTTTCGGCACCAGTTAAGCGTCGTCGGACTTAAGAAATAAAAAAAAAGAAGGAAAAGGGAAAAGATGTAACATACACGACTTCTGAAATAACACTGCTTTATTCGTTCCATAAGCCTCCTTATATACACTTAGCCTGTTTATTTACATTACCAGATAGTATTAAGGCTGATACCGCCAGTCTCCGGTCTTTATCTTATATATATATATATATATGAAATGTGTGAGAGACCGAGATGTACTTCTCATTTAAATCATATGGTGTTGTCAAGCTGTTGATAATTGTTGATCGCTTCCTGTTCAACTAAAACCGTGACTTACTTGATAAAAACACACAAAATTTAAATTTCCAACTATCTGAGGAAAATTGGTCCATTGATTGTATAATATTTGTTATGGCTTTTGAGATCTGCTAACATCCCTTAAAATATCCCCCTCTGATTACGGGACACAGTATACATACATACATATATATATATACACACACACACACACACACACACATATATATATATATATATATATATATATATGAAATGTGTGAGAGACAGAGATGCACTTCTTATTTAAATCATATGGTCTTGTCAAGCTGTTAATATAATAATGTAGAAAAAAAGATGTTTTGTATCCATATGATAATAGAATACGATTAAGAACATTACAGAGAAAAAAAAAAAAAAAGGAAATTGGATTTATACATCCCTCAAAATGCTTAGAAATCTGACCTATGCATTCAAATCTTCCTCATATGTCTACCCACTTGTCCGTCTGCCTCTCAACGGAATGAAATATTCGACCAAAGGGCCAAATCAGGAAGGACCCACAGAGGAAGAGCTCACTGAGGAAGGACCCGCAGAGAAATCGGCCCTTGACCAATCATTCAATGTTCCCCATATCAACAAGAGTATCAAAGATGTTCTCAAAGATTTAGATGAAATGGAAACAATGGTGCACAAAAGGAGTTGGTCAAATTTGGGAGATATCTTAAGCCGTATAAGAGATAAGATAACCAGTCTGCTCGGCAAGGTCGAGAAGAAAAGTGTTCCCGAAGAAAAGAGCTCGTGGTGGGGAAATAAAGAGGAGAAGTAACCAAGAGATGTCTGACTGATAAAATTTAATAAAGGTTTATAAATTACTTTATTTTAAATATATAAAAATTAAGGAGGTAGTTAATGTACGTTTAAAGTTTAAATCTATACATATACATGTAGGGAGTATCTCAGTTAAAAATATTTAGCACTATGCACAGAAAAGCGGGTAATTTCTGTTTTGTGCTTTTTTAAGTGTGATGTGTTTTGTAGAATTTAAAGTGATGACAAAAACAAAATTAATTTAAATAATTTATAAATATTGCATACTAAACTAGAGAAAATTTAATTCTAATGCAGTTAGAATTTGTAAGAAGTTTTATTTTTCATACAATCATGGAATTTCGTTTTTTTTTTATCATCCTTCAACTCGACTACAATTACCCTACTTTAAAAAAAACTATCTTGTTAAATAAGCTTTACACTTATTTAAAATTATATTCAAAATTGATTATGAAAGCAGTGTATTTTTCTCTTGTTTTTACTTTCCTACCTATACTAGGTAAGGAAAGTATTGCAATCGGGTCAAATTTCCGACATGCGGTTTTCCACGGATCTATACATTTCACATCCCCCTGAGCCCGAAAAACACATTTTTAGCCATTGGTCTGTCTCCCTGTCTGTGCCAACATTTTCTAGGAAACTACTGAACCGATTTTGTTGCTTCTTTTTTTATTTTGTAGGGTTTTTTGACTACCTATGCCTGTGACAGATATTCGGTGCTCCATGCGCAATAGCTTGCGCGAAATAAATGAAATATTTCTATAGACTGTAGCGCAAAAACGGCTCTAACGATTTTGATTAAACTTTCCGATAATGTTCTAATCATTGCCGTTTCAATTTTTGTATATAGACTAAATTTCCGAAAAAATTCAGAAAAACAAGTTATAAAGAAAATAAAATTTTTATGGGGCCTAACTCGCTAAGTATATATTATACGGTAAAATTTATAATAAAACTTTTGAAAGGTGATTAGATTGCCAACAAAACAAAAAAAAAAAAAATCATTGGAATCGAACCAGTATTAGCGATGATACAGCTTATTCTATTTTTTACACATTTTTTAAACTTATTTTATTACTTTCCTACCTATACTAGGTAAGGAAAGTATTGCAATCGGGTCAAATTTCCGACATGCGGTAAAGTTTATTAAATAAGGAACGTTTTCTAAAAAGGGTATCTATAGTCCGATTGGAAGAACAAAAAACTGAAATAATTGTTAATTGCCTACATTAAACATTTTTTTTAAGTTATCGTTTTCCATTCAACAAATAATGAGACTTGCTTATAAAAAAAACATTAAATACATTTCTTACTTTTCTTGTAATTAAATACAATTTGGAAAGGATAAAAAAAAAAAAAAATCCTACTTTTCTGCCAAAAATCAGACCATAGTTATTGTGAACTTTTTTGTAGATCTGAACTTAACAGAATGGAACGGGGCAACTACTAGAAGTGTATTGCACTTAGGAAAATAATTTTTAAAAACTAATGTTCTTATGCGATTTTCATTTGTTTAAATTTTATTGCCAAATTAAAAATACACAAAATTTCACAAATGAACATTATTTCATACATCTATTATCGACTCAGTTCAAAGTTTTATTTTAATAATTATTCGAAAATACCACCATTGACTTCTAAATAGAAAACTATTTGCTGCTAAAATCTCTTTCCAAATACCCTAATACTACCAAATATTAATGAAAACTGCATAAAATTCTCTACGAAAGAAAATATAATATTAGTGAGGTTTTGAGTTTGAAGAGTTATATTACGATTGAAACCTAACATATACCTCAACATTTAATTAAATATTTATAAATACATTTAAAAATTGCTAAATACCCTAATAAAGCAATATATTATCGGTAAGAGTATACAAAAATGGAACAAAGACATTTTCAATCCCTTATCCTACCGACCTATCAGTCTCCTTCCGATATGTTCCAAATTTTTCGAAAAATAAAACACAAAAGACTGCTTGACATACTGACAGACCAACAAATAATACCTGACTATCAATTCGGTTTTCGTACATTTCTTTCAACTACACACCAATTTCACAGACCAAAAACAATATGTTACCGGAGTGTTTCTGGATATTGCCCAGACATTTGATGAAGTCTGGCACCAGGGACTTCTCTTTAAACTCCAAACTATACTGCCAAATACATAATATCTCATTCTTCAGTCTTTCATTTTTTAGTTTGTCTGTGAAGGTCCTGCTGCTGTCATTTTGTGCAGTTTATGGGGCCCTGAATTCCTACTAAATTTCTTGTAGATAGCTAAAGACGTATTGAAGTCATACATTTTTTTGTGATTTGCAGAAGAAATTCAAAGAGGTCGTCTCCCTTCTCTCAGTTTTCGTGAAAAAAAATAAAAATTGTTTGCTATGAAAAAAATTGTTTGCTACAAGAAAATCCGTATTTGGTGGTTTTCTGAGATGTGAAATACATACCTCAACTTGGTTTCTCCTTAAACAAATATTTGAACCCACTTTGCTCCATGGGTCGGTACGAATTGTTACATTTCAACATTTTATTCATACTATAAAAATATGTCAAATGTAGGTTTAATGAAATAGAGCTCTCATGAGTAGTATAAACCGAATATAAGTGTAAAAAAAGAAGAAAAAGAAAGAAAAAAGAAAAGAAAAGAAAACATGTTATCAGACACAACTGTTATCGATTTCGATGATTTTTTTTTTCATTTTGTAGGGAATTTAGTAAGCTTTCAAATACTCATAATGCATAATGGGCCGAAAATTGCGTCCTTTCCGAGTTATTCCCAAAATTATGAATTCATTTGGAACGTCTCGATTCGTTGAGACGGCACCATCATATGGTTTGAAACCTCCCACTTTTACATTCACTTTTATTTAAGTCCAGGTATAAAATTATGAATCAAAATTACGATTCGCGCACTCTACGTGATATTCTCTTTCTATTGATACCTCATTCGTCAAAATCCATCTCACCTGAGAGCCGGAAAAGGGATATGTATTTGAGAAATAATATATAAGAAGATATATATATATATATATATATATATATATATATATATATATATATATATATATATGAAATGTGTGAGAGACCGAGATGTACTTCTCATTTAAATCATATGGTGTTGTCAAGCTGTTGATAATTGTTGATCGCTTCCTGTTCAACTAAAACCGTGACTTACTTGATAAAAACACACAAAATTTAAATTTCCAACTATCTGAGGAAAATTGGTCCATTGATTGTATAATATTTGTTATGGCTTTTGAGATCTGCTAACATCCCTTAAAATATCCCCCTCTGATTACGGGACACAGTATACATACATACATATATATCGGTCGTTCACCCTCACTCCCCCCCTGGGACAAAACGGCCCCTAGCGCGTATTCACTCGCATCAGTGGTTATATTAAAAAGCTTCTCGAAATCCGGGAACGCTAACACCGGCTCCGTCAGCAACCTATTCATACATTTTCGAATGTTATTCTCCATCTCTGGTGTCACCACAATCTTCGCGCCTTTCTTCAACAAATTGTTAATGGGTACCAAATACTCTGCCATCTCGGGTACGAATCTCCGGTAATAATTCAGCGTCCCGAGAAGCCTACGAATCCCCTTGACGTCCCGTGGTACCGCCATCCGCGTGATTGCCTCCACCTTTGCCGCATCCGGTCTGACCCCCTCGCTAGAGATAGTGTGGCCTAAAAAATTGATCCGCGTTTGTCCCAGCAGAGACTTCTCGCTTGACAATTTCAGCCCGAATTGCCGGAGCCTTTCGAATACTGCCCTCAGATGTCCCACGTGCTCGGTTTCCGTTCTGCTAAAAATCAGCAGGTCATCCATGTATACCTGGCATACCGAGTCATCGATGCCCCTCAAAAATTCGTCCATCAGACGCTGGAATGTTATGGGCGCATTCTTCAGACCAAACGGCATTCTGGTGAATTCATAATGCCCCCTTTCAAATGTGAACGCTGTTTTGTGTTGGTCTTCCGGGTGCATCCGTATTTGGTGGTATCCCGCCTTGAGGTCCAGCGTGCTAAAGACCACGGCCCCACTCAACCTATCGAGTATATCCTCGAATCTCGGGATCGGGTACTTCTCATCTACCGTGTTATCGTTCAATTTACGATAGTCTACTACCACCCTGTATTTTTCCTTATTATCCCCCGGCGCTGCCTTCTTTTTCACCGCCCACAGGGGACTATTGAATGGTGAGGTGCTATCAACTATGATTCCCTGTTCTTTTAGACTATCTAGCTCCTCCCGAATATGCTGTCTCAACGCCTGCGGGTATCTTCTCTCTTTCACGTAAGTTACCCTCTCCTGTTTCAGTGGGATTTCGTGCACCGTCCTCCCTGTTACCCCTAATACCTCACCTTCCCTGAAGAAGATATCCCTAAACTCCTCTTGTAGCAACTTCCTCCAGTCCTCCACTCTGTCCACCGCTCCTATCCGCACCCTTCTTTCTCTCGCGACCCCTATACATCCGAACTTCCTCTTTCCTAACCTAACGCTCCAGACTCCTCTACGATTTCTAATGCTCGCCCCTACCTGACCTAACAAATCGCACCCTACTATGACTTGGTATTCCCGAGTCATGTTCTCCACCACATGCACCGTTAGCTCACCCCCTTTCCCTGTCCACCGATCAAGCCCAATTGTCGCCTCACCCTCTACACTACAGGGACCACCCAGAGTGATCAGCTGGCAGTCACATTTCTGTATCCGGAGTACCCTCTCGCTCCCGCACCCTTTTCCTAACGCCCTTCGAGTCATAATAGTGCTCGAGCTACCCGTGTCCACAAGACACTTTACTCCCCCGTCTACTTCGATAATTGGCAACCAGCATGGCTTACCTCGGATGTTGTTGCATATTGCTGTGCGGTCGCCTCTCTGCCGACACACTCCTCAGATGTCGTCCCGCTTCCTCCTTTCTGCCGCCGCTCGTCGCTGCTCACTCCGTTGGCTGCGCCTACCTCCTTCACCTCCGCTGCTGCCTGGTTCGTCCGTCTCCGTTCCCGACGCTCCTGACTCCTCGGTTGCCTCCTCCGAAGATCCGTCCCGCTGATGTACCCTGGCTCGTCTTTTCATCCTCTGCACATTCACCTCCATGGGTTCGTCCTGAGGTCTCTC